CCCTCTTAAATCTCGCTGGCTGGGGGATTCTGGGAGTGGAAATCCACTCCCAGATACAATCCAGACAGACCCCTAGATTCATCCAGACCTTCCAAATGGTCCATCCAGTTAACGCTAAAAAGCTAACAGGGGAACCTCTGTGGGTATCGTGTCTCCCAAAAGAAGCTCACCTGCTTAGCTCAAAAAAGAAAGAAAAAACCTAGATTTTTTGGCTGAGAGCCTGCCGTGGGGAAACAGGTAGAGCTGTGGGGCTCTACCTGTTTTATTCCCACCTGTCACCAGAAGAGGGCAGTCCTGCTTCGGAGAAAGATGCCATCAGGCCACTTCCATTGAAAAGCCAAATGGAAGAGGTCCCTGAAAAGGGGGAGGGATGCCAAGCCCCCCCCTTTCCCTCTCTCCTTGCCTTCCCTTGCCAACAAAATGGGGAGGGGGACCGCTGTCCCCACCCCCACAACCCAAAGAGTCTTGCAGCTTTTAAGTTGTGGGTGGAAAGTTGGTTTTTTTTTTAATTAATTTTTTTATTTTTTACACATCTCTTCAAGTGAGCGGTATGATTCCTGGCTACAACATACATACCTACTCGTGATTACATTTTCAGCTTCCTTATCTAGTTTCCTATCAAATCATTACCTATTCCATTTTTCTTTTAATAAATGTCCGCTTCGCGTCATTCCGTTCCTTATTCCAGGGACCAAAAACATTTTCACCCTCAAACACATTATCCCCTATTTATCCCCTTTTATTATCGTTTCCATCTTACCCCCTATTTTATTTTATATATTCTCAAAGCCGATGTATAGCAAATAAAACAAAAACAAAGCTAATATCAACGTAGTCCTTCTTAATTATTACCTTCCAATTGACAAACAATAATTCCCTATTTACTATTTTATATGCATATGTTTCTCCCCCCCTTACCCCCCCCTTTCAGGACACACATGGTATTTCCCCTTTGGTGGAAAGTTGATGTACTGTGTTTTCTGCAGAGGGGAACAGACCATTTTGGGTCTAGGGGAGGGGTTGGCAACCTTAAATATCCAAAGGGCCTAACTGGAAGCGCCCCCCCCCCCCCCATTCAATTCTGGAGCTGACCAGACTCTATGGCCAGACTCCAACCATAGAGTCTCCTCCTAGCACGGCATCCTTTTTCCTCTACCTGTCCTAACCAAAAGCCCTATGAATTGTGGAGCCGACCGGATACAGGGAGCTGCAGGAAAAGGGAGGAAAGAGCCACATGCAGCTCTAGAGCCACGGGTTGCCTACCCCTGGTCTAGGGGAGCGGAGGAGGCAGGGTCTTCTCTTCCTCTTCCCCCACTTGAGCACTGCCGGCTTTCTCCAGCGAAGGGGCCAAGAGCATGGCGCAATCCGCCTCTCCTCCTGTGACGATTTTCCAAGCATGGCTGGCTGGCAAAGGGTGGCATTTTCCTGGGCACATGGTGGCATTTCAGGAGGGAGACCAAAGAGCAGGGGGGGGGGGGTGTTCAGAAGCCCTGGGCTCCCCCGCAGCCTTTGGCCGGGCCAGAGTCTGGAGGACCAAGGGGCTGATTTGAGCTGGGAGAGAAGAGAACGTAGAAGAACAGGGTTGGAAGGGGGACCCTAGAGGTCTTCTAGGCCAACCCCACTGCCCATGCCGTTCTGGACAAATGGCAGTCCAATCTTTGCTTGGAAACCTAAAGATGTTGATAGATACACACACACACACATACAGGCAAGCAAGCAGGAAGGAGGGGGAGAGAGAGAGAGAGGAAGGAAGGCAGGAGGGAGGGAGGGAAGAAAAGAAAGAGATAAAGAGAAAAGAAAGAAGGGAGGGAGGGAGGGAGGGAGGGAAGGAGGAAGGAAAGAAAAAGAAAGAAAGAATTCTAGAACCAGAGGGCTGGAAATGGACCCTAGAGGTCTTCTAGTCCAACCACTTGATACAACAACAGACCATGTACCATTATGGACAACTGTTGTGCAGTCTCTTCTCGAAAATCTAAAGTCAGACAGACAGAGAGGGAAGGAAAGAAAGAAGGAAGAATGGAGGGAGGGAGGAGAGAGAAAAAAAGGGAATAGAGGGAGGAAAGGAAGGAAAGGAGAGAGGGAGGGAGGAAAGGAAGGAAAGGAGAGAAAGAAAGAGAAAGAATGGAGGGGGAGGAAGGGAGGGAAGGAAGGAAGGAAGGAGAAAGAAAGAGAGAAAGAATGGAGGGAGGGGGAGGGAGGGAGGGAAGGAAGGAGAGAGAAAGAAAGAATGGAGGGAGGGAGGAAAGGAAGGAAGGAAGGAAGGAGAGAGCAAGAAAGAATGGAGGGGGGAGGGAGGGAAGGAAGGAGAAAGAAAG